TCAGCTCCAGCAGCGCCCTTTGATACTTGCCGATGGCTTCTTGACACTCCTCCTTGTAGCACTGAGTTCCTTGGCTTTTGAAATCTAGCGCTATTGGATCAGCTGCTCAGCTTTGACATCCAGAGAAGTGACAATGAGGCCAGGTGAGCAGATGGCCAGAAGACCAGGCAAGCCACCAGCTCTTGGATCAGCTACTTAGGTTCAGCAGCCAGAAAAGCTCTTCGGGCTGCCCACTTGATTGGCCTCACTGCCACTTTTCTGGCTGCCAAGCCTGAGCAACTAATCCGAGAGCCGGCAGCTCGCCTGGCCTTCCATGGCTGCTCGTTCACCTGGCCTTGTTGCCACTTGGCTGCCAAGCCCAAGCAGCTGATCCAAGAGCCATCCGCTTGCCTGACCTTGCCTCCACTTCTCCTGCTGAGCTCAAGCAGCTGATCCAAGAGCCACCTGCTGGCTTGACCTTCCAGCCGCCTGCTCACCTGGCCTCGTTGCCGCTTCTTATGCTGCTGAATAACATTCATGAAACAGTATATTTTGATTTATAGGTCCATCAAAGAAAGCTATTTGAATTAATTTAGAAAAGCCATAGTGAAGAACGTTTAAACTAGTATTAATGTTTAAAACGTTAACCATTTTCAGTGTTGATAGTTTTAATTAGCAGATTTGGTCTCTTTTAATACGTTCCAAATTATCACACACATTTGTAGAACACTTAGATCTTCAATGCACCAGATAAAAAATATTAAGAGGTTTGTGCTGACAGCTATGAGTATTATGTCAGTGAATAGAGCATAAATGAAATTATAGCAAAACAAAGCTGTGTTGGGATCTGACAGTTTAATACCAATAGGACATTGAAGGATTTGAGTAATTTGTTGCCTCCAGCAAAATTCTTCTATAAGTAACACACAGGAAAGGAGTAATGCTATAAAAGTGTCAAAAAAATCCCATTTCTAATTAGGGACATTTTAATAGGTCTTGAGGATAAGAATTTTCAGAAGGGTATCTGGAACCTAGAAGCAATTCATGCATAGAAAATATTCAAGTGAACAATCTAGGTTAGGAAGGGAGGAACTCTGGAACATCTGTTTCCTTTATTATTTTATGTTTTCTGCTCTTTCTCTTTCTGGGTAATTAGTAGCTAGTCTCATTTTTAAAAATTGCTGGGTAGAATAGATGCTGCTGTGATGATATGCATATAATGTACAAAGTTCAATTCAAGCAGTGGCAAACTTTTAGACTGGATCACATTATGCAGAGTGCATGTAGAGATTGCAGTATGCCCTCAGGATTTTCAAGGGCCTTCTAGGGTGAAATGGCAGAAGAGGTGCTTAAATTAACACTGGAGGAAAACAAAGAGTTAATCCAACTGGAGAAAAATAAGAACTTTATTGGAACTTATCTTGGGGCAATGCCCTTTGGCTATCTATCAGGGCAACCCAGTCCCTCCTGGGTTAGTATATTATCTACAGGATAACTGTAAGAATTATTATTGACAGTTGATGAATTAAACCACTCAGATTTGCTCTGAGTTGGACTCTAGATTGACAACTCACTGAAGAAGATTGGGGCACAGTCTTGTAATGATATCTAGAAGGAGTTTGACTCTGCTACTCCTAGAGAGGTAGACAAGATTTTCAGCGCTGTGGGTGCATGCACTTGTTATTTTGATATATATCCCTCATGGCTGGTTAAAAGACTCCAGGGAGGGAATGTGTGAATGGATCTACATGGTGATAGCTATTTAGAGAAGAGTTGTTCTGCTGGCTCTTAAAATCCTTCTCATCTTTGCTAAATTGGACAACTTTCACCAGGTCTATCACAACTTGCTGCATTCAATTTGCCATGACAATCTTGCCATGGCCATCTTGTTACGGTGTCACCATGGTCATTTTGCCCTTAGCCAACCCACTATGGCCATCTCCCCATGGCCAAAGTGCTGTGGGACAACTCACCACAGCCAACTCACCGCAGGACAACTCACTGCAGACAGTTCCACATGGGATACTCAAGGCAATAAATGTTATCTGCCATTTTTTCCTGACATTATTTCCATTGATAAAAATGGAATAATGTAAAAAAACAGTGGCAGATAATATTTATCATGCTGAGTTATCCCACATGGAATTGTCTGCAGCAAGTTATCCACAGCAAGTTGTTCCATAGCAATTTGGCTGCAGCGAAATGTCAGATGGTGAATTGGCTGTGGCAAAATGGCCATGCCAAGATGGCTATGGCAAGTTGGCTGTGGTGAATTGTCCTATTTTGACTTTCACCAGTTTCCAACCTATTCAGAAGGTAGCTGCCCTCCAATTCCATGGAGTCCTAGAAAAAGTAGTTTATCTAGATTCTTTTAGCCTGTTTTTCAACCAGATTATAGTTCTGAAGTACAGGTATTCATCTGTATGATATTCATCACAAAAGTGGCTCATCTTTGGTGAACTTGGATTGGATATAGTGCTGCCATTCTGCCCTCTTTTGACATCTTAATTGCCTTCAATACCATGGTATTCTTGTGGACCAGTTTAGGGCATTGAGAGTGGGTTCTTTTTCCTCCTTCATGGCTACTTCCAGTTGGTGTTTCTTGAATTTCCGCAGAGTTTGGACCTTTACTCCCCCCTCTTTAACTTCTACATGAATCCTCTGAGAGAGATCTGTCTGAGGGAGTACAATATTATACCATGGCATATCTTCAGTATCTCTGGCCATCTCTGCACCTGGAGGCTATGAGTTGGAATGAATAGGTTTCACATCAATCTTGCTAAAACAGAGGGTCTAGGGGTTTGGGTGCCTCAGTTATAGAATTGGAAGGTTTCCAATCTTGAGTATGGGGTAGAACTGCACAGTTGGGATTTCTTCATGAAGTCACAGAAACTGGGTTGTGGCTTTGACAAAGGCAACCTTTGCACAAGTTTTTTGTACATGCCAATGAGCCACTTCATGGATTTAGAGAACTTGCTTATGGTCATTCATATGTTAGCCACATCCCAGCTAGATTGTTACAATATACCTTATATGGGACTGCTCTTGAAAACCATCTAGAATCTACAATTGGTCTAGAATGCACTGTGCAGGTAGTCATGCATGCTTTTAACTATGTCCACATGTGACACCATTACTGTGCAATTACATTGGGTCTCAGCCATTCAAACTAGCAATTAAAGGTGCTAGTTGTCCCCTTTAAAACCCCATATGGCATACAATCAAGTTACTCAAGGAACCATCTTCTGCCTATGATACATGTTGTCCTACATCTTGTGATAAGGAAGCTATGCTCTGAGTCACTCACTTCATTAAAATAATGTTATTTTATGAGATTCCAGATTTCAACTTCTCGATGATGGCTCTCATCTTTCAAAACAATCTTCTTCCTGACATTTGGTTGTTATTCTGGTTTTTAGAAATGCTGTCAAAATCTTTTTTCCAAAGCATTTGGGAAATTAAAATTCTGATTAGATGTTATTGCTGTTTGAATCACCATTTATTGTTTTATTTTTGTTTGTTAACATGTGTTTTACATATTGGGGGTGAGGTTTGCTTCATTTGCTGCTCAGAGTTACTTTGGCTGAGTTGGATAGTCATATAAATGTTTTAAATATAATCTGGTTTTGCTCCAAATCATATAAATAGTATGTGTGTGTAAAAATGACAAATCTATGCCAGAGAAAATATGCTGAAAATCTTGTATTTAGTTCTAATCTCCAGACCATTTATTAAAGAGGAGTAATTGTGGTGTCAGACATTTCTTTTTCTTATTTTTCAGATCAAATGTCATTGGGGAAAAAAACCTTTAGCCCATAAGCATATTGTGTTGAGCATGATATTTTTAAAATCTTGAATATGTAATCTTTGGGAGATTGGGTCAAACACATTTCAGTTTTTTCTTGCATTCTACAAAAGTGAAAATATGTAGAAATTAAAGCATCCATTTTTTAAATTAATGCTTTAATGTTTTAGATTTTTTTCTATTCCTCTGTGTTCCTACTCTGCCATCACATATTTATTCATTAAATTTATGCATACATAACGCCTGCTCGTCTTCTTCCCACAACAACACTATGGGGCAGGGCTGAGAGAGTTTGACTTCGCAAAATAATCTGGCCAAGTTCCATTCTAAGGAAGGCATTTACACTCTTCCAGTTTCTAGTCTAGCACTTTAACCATTACACCAAACCAATGCTGGTGTCCCAGAAGACAGCCTCATTAATACCAGTGGAACCTTCTTTCTAAACCAAATAGTAAACATGTGAAAGGAGTTATTTGGGATTTTAGAAAATAACATTCATTTTTCTATATTATAATCCTGATGAAAACCTTTTCCTATCTCTGCAAATCATCCATATTTTCTTTTAAAATGCAATAATTAACATTATTATCAGCAAATCCAGATTTGGCCCTAGGTTTAAAGGAATGATAAAAATCTGCACATACTTTAATATATCAGTAGATTCTGTTATTACATTTGCTTTGAGCCAAACAATTTAAAGCAATTCCAGCATTAATGATTTTCAGTTGGGAAAAAGCATCCAATGAGTCATTTTCCTGCTGAAATCAATACAACTTTAAAAACCCTATTATTTATTCCATGAAGTAACTCATATGTTTATGTTTATTATAAGACTAGTATAAAAACAGTTCTGCTGCATGGTATTTCAGTTGTATAAACTGTTTACTGCTGGTTAGCAATATTGATTGAAGTTTATTCAGCCATGATAAAGGCACTGCATACTATACTTTTAAAGAATTATTTTATTTACAACCACCACCTCAGCTATAGTTGTTCAGAAGATTTGGAGTCATAATACTGTGTGAAATTCAGTACTGTATATAATTGGGTACAGTATAGTGACCATTTCAGTTAATCCAACAAGATTGACTTTCTTTTATTCCCTTCCTCTATGATATAGCTAAAATAAATAAATAAAAATATTTGGCCTGAATCCTTCTCTTCCAATTTTAGGATGCTCTAGTTATATAATAATGATCATTTCTTCTTCTTCCAGTATATGATGACTGCTGCACCTTTGCAAGGGACCTATATTCCTCAGTACACTCCTGTGCCTCCAACAGCTGTCTCTCTTGAAGTAAGTCTATCTTGTATATTTTTATGCAGGTAAAGTCTGCATTGTTTTAATCATTTGGATGAAAATCTAAAGAGTTTTAAAAAATATTTTTTTAAAAAAACCATATCCTTGAAGAAATAGGTAGATGCTTAGTTTTTGTTTTCATCCAAGACAAGATGGAATATTCCATGGATAGTTTCTTGCTCATAGGTTAACAAATGGCACAAATGCTGAGATTTCTGGTTTGCAAGGCTTCGGCGGCGGCAGGAATCCGCGATTGTGCGCGGTTTCTGCTGCGCTCGCCGCTGGAGTGCCCCCGATCCAGCCGGATTTGGGGGCTATTAGTTACCCCGTAGAGGTAACTGAAGACAGGGGAGATCCGGCAGGGGTCCGGGGGAATCGCAACCCCCCTCCTCAGCCGGCTTAACTCCCTTTTTCAAAAGCGGTGGAGCGGCGGTCAGCAATGGCCGCCACAAAGAAGCTTTCATCCGGATAAGAATGCGCAGGAGGAAGCTGAGAAAGTGAAAGTCTTTGGCTGACCGGGATAACAAGTAACATTTAAATACCCTGGAATTTAAGTTTAATTAAAGATACATCGCTCCCGAAGAAGATCGGAAAAAGCGGCGAATGAAAGTAAAAAGGGAAAGTTTGTTTTTTCTCACTCTCCTTCCTTACGGTGATAGCAGATGAAGAGAAATCGGAAAAACCCGTTTTGGCATCAGCAGGTAATCAAATTGGAAAATTAAAGCCAAGGGGACAATAAAGATTTCTGAACATTGGGGAAAAAAACAACAACTTTTTTTTTGCTATAAGTGGGAAGGGAGAGGAAAAAAATTAATATTAAGATTTTGCTGGAGGAGGCTGCTTGGAATTTATAAGATCAGAGCTAAATTGCAACAAGACTTCTAAAAGATATATTCTAATTGGAACTTTGCAACTGAACTGCAAGCCCAGGAAGAGAAAGTATAAAAAGAAGAAAGTGCTAAATGAAACAGTCTGTGTGTATTTGGATTGCTTGGTGACTTTGGGACTTTTGGAAATTATTATTTGAAAGACTAAAAACTTTTGGGTTGTTTAAATTTTTTTCCACAATGGCATTACTTGTTGATGAACTGAAAATGGAATTCAAAAAGCTAAAAGAAGAGGAACAAGAAGGGAAGGGCTCTTCTGGATCTGTTTTTCATTTTTTAGAAATGGTGATTTCTACCTATCAGAAACTACAAGAACAAGAAGATTGGGATGAAGGAGAAGCCATCTTTAATGAACAAACAACTCTAGCTGGGGAAGAAAAGGGAAAGAGGGGAAAGAGAATGGAGAATTCAAGACCTAAAAAAACAACCAAAAAAGGGAAAAATAAGGTGAAAAATCGATATAATGTCAGAAAGCAACAGAAAAGAGGAATACAGAAGAGGGTGGAGATTAAGAGGGTGGAGATCAAGAGACAAGGCAGTAAAAAGGCTAGATTGGAGAAGAAAGGAAGGGAAAAAAGGAAGAGAAGTTACAAAGGTTTGAAACAAGATGTAAAGAAACAGGATTTATTCAGAGATAATGGGTAAAAATATAATTAAAAAAGAGATTCTGCAAAAGTACATAAGACTGTATTGTTGTATTTATATTTGAAATAATGTTAGAAAACTGGAACATTATATGATTATAAAATGGGATAAAATATTAAAAGGAATGTGTAAAATGCTTAAGATTTAATGATAGAGTTTAATTTGCTATGGATTATTGTTTTAATTATATTATAAACTTATTTTTATTTTTTATTTTAAAATATAGTACGTAGCTTTAGAATGTACTAAGCAGAATCAGTAATAAGTGTTAAATTTAGGGGAAAGATATAAAGGCGTCATACTTCAATCAGTGATTACAGGAGAAATTTTGTGTTAATGAGAAAAGATAATAGATAATTGAAACAGAACAGACAAAGGATATAAGCATAATGGTTTAAATTGAGATGAAATAAATAAAACAGAATTAAGAGAATGAAAAGAGGGGAGAAGCTATATAGAAAATGTAGAATGGTTAATAAGATATGAAATGGGATATAAAGTGAGCATGAATTCAAATTTATGTCTGTACAAAAAGATGTAACCCGGGACTAAGCCGCTTTCCAAAAAGAAGTTTTATGTTTTCATGTTTTGTGTTTTGTTTGTGTATGTTTGTTTATTGAAAATTAATAAAAATTTTATATATATATAAAAAAGAAATGGCACAAATGCTGTCTCTTTAGACAAAGGAGAAAAGACTTCAAAGAATATTTTGATTCCATCTTACCACAACGATAAGAACTACTAGCAACTGCTAAAGCCAAGAGTGACCACAAAACAGGACTTGGAAAAAAGAAAAACTTTCCTCATCAATATCATTATGATCTTTAGGATCTGATCCCAAGCTTTATCCCCAAAACAACCAATCAAACAATGAGATAGGAAGTGATAGAAAGGAAGAAAAACTCAGATATAAAGTAGGAGATATAAGAAACCGTACGTCAAAGATAAAGAACTCAAATGCCTAACCACATGTGTTCAAAGTTTGGTGAACAAACAAGATAAACTTAAATTTTACTTTAAACATTACTGAAACTTGGTGGGGTGAACTCATGATGTATAATAGAAGGATACAAACTATTCAAAAGTAACGGATCTAACAATAGAGGAGGTGAGCTTGCAATATATGTAAGAGCATTGCATCTCTACAAAATGCACAAAACCATGAATGAAAGCCTCCTGAAATACATATTGGTCAATATAAAATGAAAAAAAGACATTGTCATGGGTCACCCAACCCCCAGAAGAAATATATACCTTTTTGCTAATCAGTTAACAAATGGAGAAATAATCAGTTAAGTAATGGAGAATTTTAACTGCCTGACATCAACTGGGAAACAAACTCTGCATCAAGTGAGAGATCAACAGCAAAGGTGGGATGCTACTGGTTCGGCCTGGTTCGATAGAACTTGTAGCTACAAAGAGCAGCTGACACTGAACCAGTTCAGTGTTTGGCCCACCCGCCTGGCCCGGCTTTAGGCTGTTCTTTATTCCCTGCTTTTCCCTCCTCAGCTATTTTGCGTGACACAACTGAGGTTGAAAAAGCAGGAAATGAGGATTTTCAAACGCTAAGCACCCAAGCGCAGCGCTTGTCAGCTGTCCAGGCAGCACAGCTGATGATTTCTTGCAAATGGGATTGTCCCCAGTTCAGAGAACCAGCAAATCACTCCACTGGCTGGCTCCACCCCTCCCCGCCCACTGACTCCTTACCTGGCATGCGAGCCATCCAACTTGCCTGTTTGGTAAGTTGCTATTTTTCCTTTTTTTTCCCCCGACCATCAGCTGTTCTGCTCTGCCAGGAGGTTTAGATTAGCTAGAAACCAGGAAATCCTTGGATTTCTTGCTTTATAAATAATCTAAAAGCAGAGCCACAGGACTGAAGCTTTTCAGTGCAGACTCAGGTAGCTGATTGCAGATAGATCTCTAAGTGAATCTGTGATTCTGTGAGCAACTCAATCTGCCTGCCTGCTTTGCCTGCTTTGGGGTAAAAGTTGCTCTTTTTTTACCAAAAAAAATATCAATATTTACATAAATATTTATAATATTTACATACAAGCCATGCTCACCCAGTCACAGACCACCAAGCCATGCCCAGTCAGCAAGCCACACCGACCCAGTCACATGACCACCAAGCCACACCCACAAATTAGGCCATGCCCACAGAACCGGTTGTTAAGAAATTTGAATCCCACCCCTGATCAACAGGCTTGCAACTTTGTCATCCAAATGTAGAAGAGGGAAATAGAGAGACAGCTATACTATATCTAATTCTTCCTAACAGAGAAGAAGTGATAGAAGGGGTTGAAGTGGCCAGAACTTTGGGGGAGACTGATCATGTCATATTGGAATTTAATATAATGCAAACACAAACAATAAAACATAATAAAAGCATTTAAAAGATCTGATTTTAACAGACGGAGCTTAGGAAGGATTCCATGGATGAAAATATTAAAGGAGGAAAAAATTAAAGAAACTATGGAAACTCTCAAAAATATGTCCAGCTCAATAGCACTGAAAAAGAAAAACAAGAAATCCGAGAAGAAACTAGCATGGCTACACAAAGGATACTCTGATAAACTGAAAGACAAAAAGTATAAGTACAAAAAAAGGAAAGAGGGACACATAACTAAGGCAGAATATCAACAAATAATCCAAACTTGCAAAGATGAAGCCAGAAAAGCTAAACAAGCAATAGAGAGAAAGCAGAGCTATTTAATTCATTCTTCGCACCTGTCTTCATGCAAAAAGATAATCCAGCCCAATCTACCAAAAACATAACATAAAAGACAGACTAGGAATACAAATTAAAATAAGTATGTTCTAGATGAATTTACATGATCTGGTGGATTAAATCCCAGAGTTGTAAAGGAACTGATAGAGATGTGATCTCAAAATCATTGAACCATGTCTTTCAAAGATGCTGGACCACTGAGGAGTGGACTGGAAAAGAGCATGTGGTTCCCATGTTCAAAAAAAAGGGGGGGGGGAGCAGAATCAGGAAACAGACAATCAGCCTGACATCAATAGCTGGAAAGATCCTTGAAAATATAATCAAGCAACAGATTTATAAACACCTATAAAAATCAGGTTCTTTTTATAAAGAACAGACAATCTTCGATCAGATATTGTTGAATGAAAAACTGATTAAAAACTATATAACTTTCTATTAAATTTGAAAATGGAAGATGAGATCTATGAACACGTAGAAGCAAGCAAAATTATAACTAGATGGCAACATGGGTTTGTCAAAAACAGATCATGCCAAACAAATCTTATTTCATTTTTGACAAAGTGATAAAATTAATGGACTTACAAAATGTAGTAGACATAGTATATTTGGATTTCAGTATGACATTTGACAAAGTAGACCATAACCTACTTCTTGGTAAGTTAAAAATAAATATCGGATAGACAATATCAACACCAGATGGATTTGCAACTACTGACAAACAGCACTGAATATGTCCT